AAAAAACAACAAAACCTATTACTTAATGTATTAATTCACTCTTAATAACTCTGTTTTTAGTAATAAATTTACTTTTTCATACATAAAATTAATTTCTTGAGAGCAAAATATAGTTGTATTAAACTTTGAAGCCATACGTAAAGCAATACTTTAATAGAAATGACTTAAAAAATTATAAAGTCTTTTGTCAGTACTTACAGTGCATTCATATTACTTATGTAATGGTAATCTAAATTCAAGGCTATTATAAGTATAGATATTTGAATTGAATGACACATTAATATAAGGATTTTGATTATTTTAGCGTTTAATTAACCGTAAGGACAGACAAAACCATCAAATAAATTCGGTTCATAACCTCATCGCCGGTAAAAACCTGTTATTTATGCGAATAAATACACTTCTGATGAAGTGTTTTGTTTTTCTTCTCTCATAATTTCCAATCTCTTTGACCACAAAATTTGGCAAAAAATAAATAATATTCAGTGAATATGAATGAAATACGTGTTGACGTTAACAGCAATTGGAGTACTGTATGTCTCCTCACATACTCGAGACATAGGAGTCGTCTCTCATGTAATCTCTTATCAATTATCAAATTGAATGAAATTTAAATTTAATATCGAGTCTCCAGAAAAAACACATTTATAGTTATCTAAACTATGATTTTCTTGTAAAGTCTTTGAACTGTTTGCCAAACATTGCATTCATATATGAAAGGACTGAAGAATAGTTTTTCAAATAAAATTCAAATTCTTATACTTGTATTTCTATTCAATTTTCAAAAAACATTTGTCTCTCGACTTTCACATACATATGCATATTGTTATCATTCATAGAGATCTTAATAATTCATTCATTTATTATTTATTTTAAAATTTCTACTTGACTTTTATGGAGATATAATTGACGAGTATTTTCTTTCTGGCCTTTTGTTCAGTTTATTTGTTCTCTTATTTTAAATAAACTCTTTTTTCTTCCTCTCGTGTAGAAGAAGAAGAAGAAGAAGAAAACTAAATGTTAGGATAAAAAATGCATTCCCACAGCAAAAGATGAACTAAATATTTGTCTAAAATAAATGCATATAATTTTAATATAAATATCCGTATGAATAGAGAAAGATGTAAAACAGTATTTATCAACAATTCGTTCAATACGATCGCCAAATATAGTCATATAAGGTATTTGTGGTTTAGTGTTTCCTCCACCAAAATGTGTATTCAATTCATTCACACGAATAGTGAACGGGAAAAGAGGTCGAGAATATATCTGTTCCTCTATTTTATAATTATATTATTTTCATAATTGATTTGAAATTATTCGCTATAATTATGTTTGCAAATCATATATTGATTTAATGTCTTATTATTTAGTTTGACTTCTGTTTGGTGTTTGTATTCAAGTGTCTGTTGTTTGCGATGCAATTCATAACCCGTTTTCTCTCAAAACAATATACGGTATATTTTTTTGAAACAAGAATTGATTTTTTGGTGAACGCATGAGATATACAAACAATACATTTGACAGAATTGAAGGCCAATTCAATGGTCACGAAATAACTGTTTTATATAAAATTTTATTTTTACTTTATATTTAATAAAAGTATAAATAAAATAAACTTTATATATAATCCATACAAGTATTAATAAATTATATGACTTTATCATTTATTGCATTTATTATATTTGTTTAACTGTTTGCTGTTTTGATTCAACAAAATAACAACAAAAAAAGTTTTTCTTTTAAATACATTATTTAATGACAAATATTATTAAATCTTATATTTATTGGTTATTAAATTATATGTATTTTAGCGTTATTTAAGAAATAATTAAATAATATTTTCAGTTCATATAATAAACACTTTAATAAATAAATAAAATTTGTTAATAAATTATTGGATTTAAAATACGTTTCGACCTTAAAATGTATAATTCAGACACATTTTAATGTTTTTGATTAAAAAAAGTCAAATTAATATAAATTCAAAATTAAGAGACGCCGTAAAGCAATAAAACTTATAATAAATATTTATTTCATAGAAAAAATATACATTAAATTCTTGTTCAAAGATTATATGAATTAAATTTTCAATACGGAAAACACAAAAAGCAAATTAATTACTGTTTAAAATTTTTTGGTTGTTATTCACGAAATATTTTTCATTTATATTTCTATTAATTTTAAGTAATTTTAAAATATTTTTCTTCCAAAAGAACTTAATTGTGAAACAATTTCTTAAAATTTCATACAAAATATGCACAAAATTTTAATGGTTTTTAGGGAATGAAAAAGAAAAATCTTATCAGAATTGGAAAATAAAAACACAAAAATCTAATTAACTTCTATTTGCTAATAATATACGGAAAATATTAATACATTTTAACCTAAATATTCGCATAGAAATGTTTCCCTTACCTTAATTTCGACCAACGCTTAGAAACACAACTTTATCTCAATTTAATACTGTTTTCGACGATTGAAATCATTTGTTAAATAATAAGTCATTTAAAATAAACACTGAATAGAAAGTCAATGAAACGAATACATCGATGCGTTAATACAATTAAGATGAAAGTGGTTTCGCATGATTTGCCAGACATTTGTCAAAATGAGTTGTGGAGTACTGTATATCCCAAACGAGAATATATTGTTTGAATAAATGAATCGTATTTCTGAGGCAAACAATTGTCGAGATTATGTCATATATATAACTAATAGAGAGTGACTTTTTAGTTACAGTAATAGTGAACAGAATCTATGGCTTTAGTTGAGCGCAGCATCTCTTCAGTCAATCGATACGATAACACATTTTTTCGCTTATGAAATGCCAACTCTCTCTCTCTCTCTCCCCAATTCTGTATTTGCAATAACACTAAACATTAAATCAAAATATGATAATATGTTTGGTATGTATTGAACACAAAATATATTACTGTAACTAAAAAGTCTCTCTCTCTCTCTCTCGTCTACCCTTTGATTTAGAGCTTTCAGATCATCATTTTCTTCTTATTCTTGTCATGATATTTATTAATCCCTTTTATTCTCCAACATATAAGTCGGTCGCAGAAAATATCGATTTTATATTAAATTAAATTCAATAAAATTTATTGAGGCTTACAGTCGATGAACGTCTGAAGAATATGTCCTAAATTCCAATACAATCCTTACACCACTCTATTCAAGAGGAATAATACTATAATATATGGTTTGAAACCATTCACCATATTTTTAGGGATCCAAAGGATATTTTTGACTTTTTTGCTGTCGATTTAATCCCAACAAATCGTTTCCTAAATATGGTTTTCAACATTTTATGAAGACTTTTATTAGTATGAAAAATGTGTAAATTATTTTTTATATACAATTTTTTCCATTATATTTTCCGCTTTAATGAATGGCTTCGAGTTATATATTAATCACTAAATTATGATAATTAAGATATAATTTATCTTAATTTATAAATATTGAAAACATGGACTCATTTATTGCTAAATTTTTGCGGATAATTACTCATTAATGTTAAACAAAAGTTATTAATAAAAACACAAATAGAAACGTAACGTCAGTATAGAGTCGATGCCAATCGATAGACAACAAAATAATAAAATCCATAAATCAATCATTTATTGCAAAATTTGATCCAAAAAACTCTTATTTCTGATTAATTTAAATCATTTTATTCATGCAGTGTTTGTTCAATTTATGACTTCATTTAATCCTACATTTAATCACGTAATAACACTTTAAAGCTTGGGATTTAAAACTTTATTTTAATGGAAATTTTTATAAAATTTAAAATACGAATAAAAAGCTTGTGATGAATAGTCACAGAATAAAATATCATAAGAATATCAATAATACATTAAAGTTATGTATTTAAACAAAAATAAATGAATACTAAAAAATAGTTTTTCGTAATATTAAGCGAATATAACACTCGTATTAAATAATGATCAAAACTGAGCCGCCGATTGAAAAATGCTGTACAAAAAGGTGGAGATATATATTGTCCATAACTTCATACATGGGATCCAATGGTTAAGCGTTGGCCTTCCCGTTGTCACCGGTAGACGAGGCGGCCGTATATTGATATCTACTGGTGCTTCCGTTGGAGTCATACTCTCTGTTCGCGTGATAAAAGGCCAGACCAAAGAAGGCACACGAGCCGAACAATAGGATCGCACCGAAACACAACAAAAATGGACCTGGTCATTGTAGTAAAATGGTTTACAATTAAACACCGCAATCAATCACTCAAATCGCCCACTAATGGCTTCATTTAATGGACAATTAATTAAGTGCCAAAAGGTTTACTAACCCACTAAACGGGGAACACTTGCGCCCAGATATCTGTTATAGTTTTCCTGAAATTAGAAAAAACGTTTTATTTTTTGTTATTAATTATAAATGTATTAATTTATAACTTTAATTAAGTTTTTAAAATTGTTTCTCATTAAATGCCGTTGACTTACATCATAATTTGGTGGAGTAATCTCTGTGTAAGCGATTCCTGTGATAACGGCGCCGGCGATCATGAATATTAGGCCTGAATATTGGGTGCGAGAGAGAGAAAGGCATGTAAATGTATATTTCATAAATACCTGTAACCTATTTAAACATATATCGCACAAATATCCACACAATTCGGTTCCTACCTAACAGTCCAACGCCGGCCGAACACCAGCCGACGGCCGCAAAGTTACCCACATTTGTGAAACGACTCATGTCTTAGCGGAGACAGTAATGGTGTGACAAAAATAGTATACAAAATCACAATTAACTGTCGTTTAATAAACAATGTTAAGTATATTAAGGCGAGAACCAAGTAAACGGTGTGTATCTGTGAGCTAACAAACCAACGCCTAAACACATCTCTCAACGCAATAATATATTAATTGTTATCAGAGAAAAATAACTTCAATAATAAAGTCTAAAAGTTTCTTCACAACACCAATTGTATGGGCAGTGAATATACAGTAATACAGTAACCGTGCGATTATAGTCTTGGATATTAAGCATTTGGTTGTTATGAGTGAATAACACATATATTATTTCACTTCCGACTGTTGTATCGTTTCGTTTCAATTGAGAATCTCTTGTCTCGAATCAACAATTCTTCCGATTATTCCTATGGTTATCAAAACTCTTAGGTTTTTCGACACCATTTCGTTTGACAAATAAAAGTTACAATCAATTCATTAGTATTTCTTTTTAATTCTTCTAAAATCTCTTTTATTTTAATTCGCATTTTTATGTTATGTTTGACTTTTGATTACATTTTGTTTTATTTTACAATCATTTTATTTGTAGATTTATTATTATTAACAATAAACTTAATTCATTTGTAAACTATTTTTTTGTAATATTTAATAGTATAATAATTATAGTCTCAATAAATTTGTTAATTTACATCTCATTTCATAGAGAATAACAATCAGTTTTTTAGTCATCATTTAAATGTCATTTAAGGCTTTCGTGAGACTTATGTCACGTTTAATGCCAATCGAGTAAATAAGGAAAATATCACTTTGAAAGCAAATGTGTTTTTTTTAAATTAAGTTAACAATAATTAAATTTCTAACCATTTGATTGGAAACAATATTAAATTTTGGGGTTTCATACTGTATGTGCCCTTCAATTACATACAACAGACAAACTTTAACACACATTATATGTCACCACAAAAATAATGGTAACTTCACATCTCTTTGGAGGGCACACATCACAGACTCGAGTGTTTTTTCTCTTTGAAAAAATAATTCATTTCTCTTTTCAAGACTAAAATTTAATTACAATTCAATTAATTACTCAATAATAGACTTATTTGTTCATAAACTCAAAAAACACGGACAAAAAAGAAATAAAAATAAAGTTAATAAATGTTAAAATTTTAAAAACATAATAAGTTAACGAATAAAAACGGCATTTATAACAGAATCGATGCCAAACAGAGCAGTGTATTGTGTAAATGTATTACAGAATCGGTACACAATTCGGTTGCGATTTATTGTAATGAATACATTGTGTTGTTTGACGTGTTTACTGTTTGCATAGCTTCTCTGTTGGGAATCGACTTAAAAAACAAATACATAATAAAAATGTTAGCTTTTGTTGTTTTTCAGCACCTTTTCAATGATTTAAGTGATGATTTGATTCTTGTAATAACATATCAACGCCGTGAACAAGGATTTCGTACAAATTAATTAATTCATTCATTATTTGTTAAGTTATTAGTATTAATCTTAATTGAAGTACAGTTTTGTCTAATGACCTAATAATTAGGACCTTTTCACTCGTCGACTAGAATTTCTTCTTATTTTTGTGTTATATTTTTTTGGTTGTATTTTGACTATAAATACAATCTAATGATTGGCTAATAACTACCAAACTTTCTCGAAATCAATGCCATCGAAACCGCTATCTCTAGTCTCCCAGTAATTGTCACCATATCTATAGGTCTCTTCTCCGGAACTCGTTATCTCTTTTCTGTATAAAATTAAATAACAGGAAATACCATAAGTTATGTTAAATAAATGCAAACAAACACAATGTTTATCAAACGATTGCATACCTAAACCAAAGTGGATTGCTATCTGATTGTGCGTTTTGTTCCCTGTCTTTGCGGCGCTCCCTCTGCTGCTGCTCTAACTGCAGTTTAACGCTCTCCGCCCTCTGGATGTCTCCCTCTTCGAGCAGTCTCTGGTCGGGACGGAATCGGGTGTCCGTCGGCGGCAACACTTTCCTCAACTCTGGCGTCAATTCGTTCATTTCGATGGCGAGCCGACTGAAGCCGTAGTAGAGCTCGTAGTCCTGAGGCATAGCTCCGGGTCTCCAAATACATTTGGCACCGGATGCGCTGCCGCTGTGCAGAGACTCGTTCCACTTCCCAAACAGCCGCTCAATCACATCCCCGTTGGCGTTCACGAGCACACCATTCACTTCGTGCTTCTTATTAGACCAATAGCTGGCCTTTTCAAACG